TCCAGCTTCCCAAGGTTCATAGATCTTACATTCCAGGTTCCTATGCAGTATTTTTCTTTGCAGCATTGGACTTTCCTTTCACTTCCAGGCACATCCACAGCTGAGCATCCTTTCGGCTTTGGCACAACCACTTCATTAGGTCTGGAACTACCTGTACCTGTCCTCCGCCCTTCCTCAGTAGCATGTTTGACGCCTTTCAACCTGACGGGGCCCATCTTCCAGCGTCATACCTTTTAGCCTTTTGTTTCGGATCATGGGGCGTTCTTGGCAAACATACTGGAGTGGCATTGCCATTTCCTATTCCAGGTGGATTGCGTTTAGTCGGAACTCTCCGCTATGTCCTGTCCGTCTTGGGTGTCCCTGCACGGCATAGCCCATAGCTTCTCTGAGTTACTCAAGCCCCTTTGCCACAACAAGGCAAGCAATCCATGAAGAGGCTTCCTCTTCCTTTCAGTACAGAAACCCTGATCCTGGCTACTGCCAAAAAATGAATTAAATACTAACAGCTTAGCAATAAAATATGTTGGTAGAGGGTGGATTTTCACAATATCTCCCTCAAGGTAGGAAGCTATTTTTCAGGCAGATAATGTCCTTTGCAAAATTGTAGTGAATTGAAGAGGACAGGAACACTTTGATCCAGAAACACAAGGTCTTGAAACAAGTCCATCCAAGTCAGTTGTGTGCACTTCCTCCAGATGTTTTAGGACTGCATCTTCTAGCATTCCTCTTATTGGGTATGCTCACTAGGACTAGTGCGAGATGAAGTCTCACAACATCCTAAGAAATGCATATTCCCCTTCACTGACCAGCTGGACAGGTCTGAATGTCAGACTAAAAAAGGTCTTACCTGAACATGGTCATCCTCGATCACAGGGTCACTGGTGCTCGTGGACTTGTCAGCTGTCCGTTTCCGCTTCACTGACTGTCTGGGTTTTGCTTTGGTTACTTCTGAGGAGAAAAAATCCAAATAATGTCTCTAAGCTTCTTAATAAAACATTGCTATAATAGAACAGCCATACCAATCCCCTTAATATTTTCTTAGTATACATTGGCAAGAATAAGGTCTTCTAGAAAAGCAAATCCAGCATTGTCAGTAATGGCCATTGCTGGATCACAGGGCTTGCAAGCTGGGAGTGTGGAAAACTACACTGAGAAGTGGGAAAAATACATGGCAGGACAAAGCATTTTTACATCCAACACTCACTAGTAGTTTTCATTGACAAAAGCTGCAGAATCACAATTCTAGGACAGCACGCTCTTTAATCTCTCTAGATTGAGAGCAAAGACCAAAGTCCAACTGAAATGCATACGGGACTTCCTCTTCGCAGATGATGCAGCCATTGTTGCCCACTCTGCTGAAGACCTCCAAAAACTCATGAATCGTTTCAGCAAGGGCTGCCAAGACTTTGGACTAACAATAAGCCTGAAGAAAACACAAGTCATGGGCCAGAGTGTGGACTCACCTCCCTCTATTACCATCTCCACGCAAGAATTGGAGGTCGTTCATGACTTTGTGTACCTTGGCTCAACCATCTCTGACACCCTCTCTCTAGATTTCAAGCTGGATAAACGCATTGGCAAAGCAGCTACCATGTTCTCTAGGCTCACAAAGAGAGTATGGCTCAATAAGAAGCTGACGACATATACCAAGGTCCAAGTCTATAGAGCCTGTGTCCTGAGCACACTCCTGTACTGCAGTGAGTCCTGGACCCTTTGTGCACGGCAGGAGAGGAAGCTGAACACCTTCCATATGCGTTGCCTCCAACGGATTTTTGGTATCACCTGGCAGGACAAAGTTCCAAATAGAGTAGTCCTAGAACGAGCTGGAATTTCAGCATGCATACATTACTGAAACAGCGACGTCTACGTTGCCTTGGCCATGTCGTGAGAATGGCTGATGGTCAGATTCCAAAGGATCTCCTGTATGGAGAATTAGTGCAGGGAAATCGCCCCAGAGGGAGACCACAGCTGCGATACAAGGATATCTGCAAGTGGGAGCTGAAGGCCTTAGAAATAGACCTCAACAGATGGGAAACTCTGACATCTGAACGTTCAGCCTGGAGGCAGGCATTGCATCACGGCCTCTCCCAATTTGAAGAGACCCTTGTCCAGCAGGCCGAGGCAAAGAGGCAGTCACAAAAGCAGCAAAACCAGGGAGCTGGACAGGGGACAGGTTGGATTTGTCTTCAGTGTGGAAGAGATTGTCACTCTCGAATTGGCCTCCTCAGCCACACTAGACGCTGTTCCAAGTCCTCCATACAGACCATGTTACTATAGTCTTTCGAGACTGAAGGATGCCTACGCTTAAACAACTTATTAGGAAGAAACTTCCACTGGACACAGTGAGAAACATGCTAAATTAAACATGTTGGTGAACAAAGTTGTACTACATTGTGAAAACCGATGGAGTTCTCATTCATGCCATTTCCAAGTCTTAATGAGGCAAGTACGGGACCCAATGTGAAAAACTGAGTCCAGTCACACAGACTTAACAGAGAGCTTTTAATCATCTGCTTGTAGCAATGTGAAAATATTCATACCACTGAAAATGTCTGAAAAATCCAAAACCTTCAGCTGGCTAACAGACCCACAAAAATACTGAGATTGATTTTATTTACCATCATACTGGTTTCAACTGATCAGGAAAACCTAAAAAAGCACTTCCATATAATGGCAGAAACAGAAATAGCAGTCCCAATTACGACAGATAAACTAAATTAATAGGACTTCCATAGCATGTGACTCACCCCTCAATGGGTCCACTATAGCTGGAAATACTAATGGGTTTAAGGTTAAATAAATTTATTCAGATATGAGGTGACTCACACTAATGAAACTGGAAATGTACTGAGTGACTATGTCAGATGATACTGCTCCCCCCAAAAAAGATGAGCATGGAATTCTCCAGTATGAGGTCTTTAGGAAACCTGTGTGAACTACAGTATTAGCCAGAGATTTGCATACGATCTGTCATGCATTTGTAAACTGCTCCAAAGGCACTGCTGGCTGGGCAGTACAAATATTTGCAATAAATATATAAATGTGTTAGTATCTAGGAAATTCAAAATGCTGCAACAGAACTCAGCCAAAGAAAGGAAATGTTGAACCATTAATAATTCACCCACACTACTTTTTAACTTTGAAGATATGGAGTATGGAGAAATGGGGTGATAATCAGATATCCCACCAATGTGGTGCAGTGACTAGAGTTTTGGGCTGTGACTCAGGATTTGTACACAGCCATGAAAATCACTGGGAGATTTTGGACCAGTTATAGTCTCCCAGTCTAACCTCCCTCACAGGGTTAAATGTAAAGTTATTTATGCAGTCTTGAGTTCACTGATGAAAGGTGAAATAGAAATGCAACTCACAAATAAATTACCAACCTTTCCAATATGTTGGGAACAACACTTCTTTAACAATTTAGTTAGTTATCTTTCTACTTTGTACTTTCATGATGTCATGTTACAAATATGAGTAAACACTGCAAAGCCAGAGTTACATATATTTGATACACAGATTATACTAAAATAGAAGTGCCCTGGGAATGCTGTTGAAATGCTGTATACACAAGCTTAAAATAAATCTAAATAATAAACCAATGTGACATTTTATAAGGTAGTGTGAGAACTGACTGTACTTTTTGTTTAGATTCACATCCAATTCACATCTTTTCCCTAGGCCTGTGCACCTGCAGGGAAATGACATTTACAAGAGCTTTGCTTGCTGAAGCAGACAAGAGAATGGGGCATGCTGTATAAATACCACCTACCTGACTGTCTGCATACAGCAATGAAGCAAATAGAATTTGAAGACACAATTGCTGTGAGAAGATGTGTCACTACTTCTAACACTCAAGGCGAAAAGAGCTGCATCATTTAAGCTCAGGAATAGAACATAGCCCAATACACTTAAATCATTCAAAATGAATGACCCCATTAGAACTACCATACATCATTCATTGGGACAGAAAAAAAAACATGCAGGAATTACCCTTAAGCACTAGGTTTTCTGAACCTATTTTTGCATAGACTCATTGACTATTTTATCTGTTTGTTTGATTGATTGATTTATATCCTACCCATTTGGTATATTCTACCACTCTGGGCGGCTTACAGAATATCAAAACAATTAAATAACATAAAAACATTAGCATACAACAATAACAAATAGTGTAGGAATAAATAAATAATAAATAGCAAAGCAAAAGAAATCAGTAGTTGACAGGAGGGAAGGCCTGCATGTACATCCATGTTTTCAGCTGGCATTTGAAAGTACCCAGTGAAGGGGCCTCGCAAATCTCCGGAGGAAGGTTGTTCCAAAGGCGAGGAGCCACCGCCGAGAAGGCCCGGCTTTGAGTATTTTCTCTCCAGGCTTCCTTCGGCGTCAGGCTCCTCAGCCTCACCTCCTGACTTGTGCGGGTGATCCGTGTAAATCTTGGTGGGAGCAGGCGCTCCGCCAAGTATCGAGGTCCTAAACCATTTAGGGCCTTATAGGTAAGCATTAGAACTTTGAATTCAATGCGGAAACGGATGGGCAGCCAGTGCAGCATGGCCAGAACAGGAGAAATATGTTGGTGTTTTCTCACTCCAGTAAGAAGTCTGGCCGCTGCATTCTGCACCACTTGAAGTTTCTGCATCAGCCTCAAAGGCAGCCCCACGTAGAGCGTGTTACAGTGGTCTAATCTTGAGATTACGAGCACATGCACCAAGGTAGTGAGCACCCCCATGTCAAGGTAGGGTCGCAGCCGGGCCATCCGCCAAAGGTGGAAAAAGGCGGTGCGAACTACCGACGCCACCTGGGTTTCCATGGGCCAGGTGTACCCCCAGGCTGCGAACCCCACTCTTAGCAGCCAGGGTCA